TTTGTGCCGTTTCCCGTCGGGGCTTCATTGTGACGAGGACCCGCTACCCAGAGCTTCCCTCTTGCCTTACCATCAACCTGACATTCCCCCTTTTCCTCCTCCACAACCACACTAGCGGCGGGCAAAGGCTTTTCAAGGAATGGGGGTCGTGAGACGGGCCCAACAGGGGGTTTTACCACACCGGTCCCGGCTGTTGACATGCCCATTACAGGCGAGACGGAAACAACAGACTCAGCCAGAGGGGGATTTAAGTCGGCGGGGGCTAGAACTCCAGAGACCTTCATCTCTTGGCAGGAATAGGAAAGGTGACCAGTCTGCCCACACTTCCAGCAAGCCGGTCTTCGACCTGTTACTATAATAAGGCATCTTCTGGCCCTCTGCATCCAGACAGTTGTGGATGGAGACGAAGGCCTTACGATCTACCATTAATTCAAAAATCCATCCCCCGGTCAGATCGTCAGAGGAATCACTGAGTATCTGGCCAAATTGGCACAGATAAGCGGCTAAGTGTTTCCCGACATTTTGAGGAGGGACCTCATATACTGAAACTTGGTCCGACGTCTGCTTTGATATTCAGTATAAGATCTTTTGTTATAAGGTCACGTGTGCTGACCGCTTCATAGTCTGCAAGCGTGGGTAACAGTATATCCCACATGAAGAAGCCTTTGCCTTTTATGACTCTCTGTGGTTTAATCCCCAGGGACGTCAATGATTTGACGACGGTGTCTTTGTGGAGCGTCAAATTTTGCGCGAACGCTTGTCCACCAAAAAGACCGACACAATTCTTTTCTCAACTTTCTGTAATTCCTCAAGATTTGTCAAGAGCCAATCTTTTGTAACAAGATAGGCGTAGCTTTTAGCTTTCTCAATGAACTCCGTGATGTTGATACTGCATTTTGGTGGGGACGACCAGCAAGAGGGCGTCTCCGCGACCGCTACTTTGTCATCTTTGTTGGTCTTGTCTGTGCTAAGGTATTTCCTTGTAGTAGAGTCTTGGCCTGTTTCGGCTTCCATATTATTTTCCTCATTTTGGATATTTTGGCCTGATTTGGCCTCCATATTTTCAGCAGGAATGTGAAAATTTGGGCTCTTTTCCGCTAAATACTTTTCTTCTTTTTGGCCATTATCGGCCACCATACTAGAAAACGATTCATTACAGATTTCCGGAATGTTATTTTCGTCAGGTTTATCAGGTGGCTCAGACTTTTTTTTTTTTTTTTTGGTCCCGAATAAGTTCTTCATAACGTTCTTCTTGGGAGCCATTTTTTAAAACACTTTTTTCTTTCTTTTTTTTCTTTTACGAAAATAAGGTATTAAAGAAATAAAGGATAAATAAATCACAAAAACAAATACAATAAGACAGTTAGACGTGCAAAAGACAAAACCTTACGCAAAATACAGACTAGAATAAACGTTTAACTTTAAAAAGGCGAACAAAAATATACAAAACAATGACAAATTTCCTTTAAAAAGGATTATACAAAAAAGAAGTTAAACGTATGAAAAGGAATAAAAAATACACGAAGAAATTCAAACAACAATAAAATAATACAGCAATAGGACTAGAAAACCAAAGAAAATACGGAAAATACGAAACTAAACTAATCACAAAATAAAATATGGCCGCTGTAAATACCAAGTCAGCCTGTTAACGAAGAAAAACAAAACGGAAAAAAACAGACAGATTAGAGAAAAATTACAAATACAAGAAAATTAAAACAAATATGTACACAACAGATTTAACAAGTACAACACAGAAGACTTAACGGATATTTAAAAATGGAAAAAAAGAACGAAAAACAAAGAACAACAAAGAAAGAAATAACACGTAATAAATAAACAAAGCAAAATAAAGTCAGACGTAAATAAAATAGATAAACTCTAGCGGGGGGATTACAGGAAATTAAAAAGAAACGGAAAATATGAAATCTCAATTTTAAAATAAAAGAAAATCAAAAAGCTAATAATAAAAGAATAAGAACAAAAAAAGATAAAAGGAAAAAGGGGAGGGTAAGCTGAAGCAATCAACTGTAGGAAGTAAGAAATTGAAAAAGAAAAAAAGAAAAAACTTTTCAAAAATCAGTCAGAACAAAGTTGAATCGTAAGAAAAAGTAAAATAAAAACAAACTTAACAGAAACGAAATGGAGTTCACAAAATAAACCAAATAAATAAAAGCACGAACATTCAGGCGGCAAAAATCCGGTCAGTATAAGGTCTAGGTATTTAGATATCATATTACCGCCACTTTCAATAGTGTGCAACGTATTTATGAGGATTGGGACATACCCATTAGTGTTCATAGATACGGTATATAACATATATAAAGAACAATATTTATCAAAATCGAATGAAGTTTTGGAGAAAGATCTAGCCAACACGATTCGTTGCAAAAGCTGAAGCAATCAACTGTAGGAAGTCGTTTACAAGCGACAGAACAATTCAAATTCGAAGAAAATGCGTTCCACATTAACGTACAGACGTGAACATCATTCACACTTGCCTTTCTCGACACACAAAGAATAATTTCACATCTGAACAGATGGGGAGTGACTGGAATGTGTCTGAGGCGTTCCTTTGAAGTGTTTTTGACGTTTACCCGGTTCTTTATTGTCTATTGTTGTGTGCCATTTACAAACAACATGAAAATTCAGACTCTAAGAAAATGAGTCCAACATGAATTTACGGAAGTGAGAATCAGTAAGCATTTAAATACGTATTTTCTTTTTCGTGATCGACACAGAAAAAAGGTGTTATATACCGTACCTATCAACACTAATAGGTATGTCCCAATCCTCATAAATACGTTGGATACTATTGTAAGTGGGGGTAATATGAAGCCTGAGCTGGCAGCATGAGCTGCCAGCGTCGGAAGCTCTCGCTGTGTCGAACTTTTTGCTTTTGGGTAGTGAGGAACCCGGACAAAGCTATGCCGAAGGACAGAGTCTCGTCCGAGGAGGTAGACAGATACCCGATCCCGTGTATGCGGGGTCTACGGGCAATTTTTGCCCGAGCCCACGGACTCGGATTTCCCCACATTAAATTTGGCCTTGTGCAGCATCCTAGCTCCTGGGGAGTCAGGTAAATATCGTAATATGGTGTCTAAGTAGTCCACCATTAGCAGTGGTTTACCTACTTCGCGCCACTGGCGAGTATTGTATTTTGTTGATATTATAATGATTACCATTTCATTTAAAATCTCCGCTTTGGTTATTCCTCATTCAATCAACTAAGTTACAACAAAAGGTAATTTCACATTTGTACAAAAGATTGATTAAAACATTTTTATTTATCTTAGATGTGTTTTAGAAGTGTGTCAGAAGCTTACTCAATCTTTTATTTCTTGTGTTGACGCTCAATTCGTTTACGTCATTTACAAATTTTGAGAAAATTTATTTAGCATTCAAAAATTTGTTATTTCTGGTTTTAATTGACACGGAAAAGAAGTTATTTTAAGATAAGATAGCCACAATCTATGAAAGTTTTGCTGCAAGAAAACAAAACGAAGAAAAACGTGACTCTCCTGCAGTCAATATTAACAGTTTCCTTATAAGGAAACATTCGGCGTTCATTGACTGAGCAGTTGTGCTGTCGTCGTTTGTAATTTATAGAATCTTTCTCTTAAAACAATTTTCTGGAAAATAGATTTCTCGGGTTCAGTAGCTGTTATCGCTCTTTCAAATTTTTGTCCGTGTATCCGTTCGTGCATTGAATACTTTTGCCATATCTGGTCTGGTACTCCTTCTATACATCTCGAGATTCTTGACAAAATCCAAAGAAGTATCTGTAATGTAATCGATCCTGACCAGGCATCTCGACTGCAGTCATTTTCTCACTGTGGTGACGGGGGCTTCCCTTTGCCTTTTCTACAAGTATTCTCATGGCAACTGCTCCGATGTGCTTTTTTTCTCCGTTCTGCCTACTACGTGAATTTATGCGTGCTACTAGATTGGCAGCTAGGTCTCACCGTTTTTCTGTTGAACTAGTTGGATGCAACCGTCATTTCTACTCTGACAGTTTGTTTTCTCGCACTTCTCAACTGAATAACGCCCTTCTGATTTCTTGCATCCCTGATAACTACAATATTCAAAACTTTAAATTCAACATTAATCGTTATGTATCTGTTTATATTTCTGAGAAGAGGTATTATGTACCTTATTTACATTATTCGGACTATTGTCCTCATCTTTGTCGCTTTATTACAACGTTCCAGCCGTTGTACTTTCCGGCCTTCTTCAAGGACACGTGGCACAGTGGATAAAGGCATTAATTAGATCCCGTGACAGGACCCAAAGAGTGTGAGTTCAATACCCAGCTAAGGCAGTGGAGAAATTTCAGAGGGAAATTAACAGGCGATAACTGATAACTGACATCCATTAAACATGGCACGTGGAACTAGAACAGTCTACCCTAATGAGCGAAATAAAGGGTTCAGTTCGACATTCCAACCACCTGAAGAAGTCCGGGGCGTACAACGGCCGAAACGTTGTAATAAATATGGCGACAAAGATGAGGACAGTAGTTCGAATAATGTAAATAGTGTATTAATCGTTATCTTTTGTCTTCTTGAAGCTTGTTCGTTTTCTGTACATTCTTCAATCCTTCCTATGCTCAGTTTTCTCGGTCTCTTTCAGTTTCATTCACTGTATCTCCCTGCGGTCTAGCGCCATTATCATTTTGCTTGGGGTGAAACGATTTAAAAAAAAAAGGTGGGGGTAAAAAAAGATGAGAGACTCAGTTGCATGTTTACAGTGTCGTAGTCTATTCATATTTGCCATTATATTGCCAACTTGCGTGTTGAAAGTCACGGAACTAGGAAAACTGGCTCGTTAACCATCACTCTCCGACGTGTTTCACATTTGATTCCGGTTGTTTAGAATTATGACTGGCTACTGTTGTTGTTGCAGCTCCATCAATCATGTGCAGCAGCAGCTGCAACAGCGACGACAAGAAAAGGGACATTCAGCCATAAGTGTATAGTGCCATTACGTCGCTTGGTCAT